CCCCAAAACCCCAAAACCCCAAAACCCCAAAACCCCTGCTTAAAATATTACTATTGAAAAATAGCTTAAATGTATCTTCGGTTAAATATTCCAAGCTCTGAGAATTTCAATTTCAAGCAATCATAATCTCCTAATACCAACAATGAGGGAGAATGCTTCCTCACTCTCAATTTTCTAATTATGAGGCATTTCTAAACTAAGGACAAGAACCTTCGAACTTTTATAATGTAAACGATGGGAATGGCTGGTCTCTGCTCATATGCTTACTGTATGTACAAAAGACCTTAAGTCCCACAGAGTTTGCACTAAAGATTGCCCCAGCCTTCCACTCCAGTTTTAGTTTTCTAAGATGATCGCAAATCTTTAGATTTGAAGAAGATATTTTACTCTTCAATGAACTCATGAGGTGGATACTTTGCATTCAGCTCGAAATAATCCTGAAGCATCCATGCAAAGGATTCTCTGTTCTCAGAGAATTCTCCTTCACCAAAGCCTAATCCTAAGTATGTGTGGAAGTAGGCTCTTGGTTTGCAAAGTTTGTCAAATGCAGTAGCAACCCTTTTAAGGACCTCTGCTGTTCTTCAAGAGTTCAGGAGCATGCAAGCATATCTCTTCATGTTGTAGAGTGTATCAGTTACCCTATCAGGATGTTATTTTAAGAGCAGTTTAGAGAAATGAATGCTTACTTGTTACTAAACCTAGTGCAGCCTTCCCCCAGCTCAGCTTTATTAACCTCCATTGCTGTATTAGTGAAGTCGCAGAAGGTGTTGAGGTCTGACTTCTGGGAGTGTTCAACTGCGCCTATTGATGATGAAACAAAAGCTAACTGATGAGGTCTTCCTGGTGAACATCTCCAAAGCAGGCTATCGGTGAGGTCTACTTTCTTACTTATGTTTGCAGCGATTATTTGATCTTCTTGTTGACTCGTTGTTATTAGAGAATTCGAGCATCTAAATAAGTCCTCTGTGATTTCATTTAAAGTTGGGAATTGATTGGGCACCTTGGGAATAACCCCCCAAGGAGCAAAGCTGGGAGTCAAGAAATTGATGCCTAGATGGTTAGTTACTTAAAGTCAGGATAGCATGTAAACATACATGGATAAGAAATTAAGCTTGCTTCTAATGATGAAAAGTAGGACTTGCTATGTCCAAACCTGTTCATTGCTAAACATGTCAAGTTTAAAAATACATGCGATCATCGAAATATTTGAAGATAGTAAAGAATTGATATCATCATAGGTCGGATCAGAGATTCCTAATCTGTTGAGAATATCTACTCATTGGTCGTTATCCACATTGACGCTGAATCTTGCATATTCTTGACAAAATCTAGTTGAATACATGGTGTTGAAGCATTCATTAGGAGTACTGAGAGAAGTTGGAGGCTGATAAATATTGTATTTAATAATGTTGAATTCATCATAAAGATCTTCTCAAATTAAACCAGAAAGACCACTGCCTGTTCCTCCAGAAATAGATCCAATTATAAAAACAATTGGAGAAGAGTCACAAGATTCAGCTTGCTTTCTCAATTTATCCTGTGTCTCTGGCATCTGTTCTCTTCCAGAAGTGTATCTTCCTAAAGCTAAGTAGGAGTTCTTACCTTCTCCATAATTGGTGCCAGTTCCATCACTCCCTGTTGAATAATGGTCATCTATAGGATCAACTTCAACCTCACCATTGAACCAGTGCTGAATGGCTGACTCTTGCACTAAATCAGTCCCAGTTGGGTCTAAAGTTCATTCCAAGGCGTACCAGTATCAATGAAGAGCCCTCTGGGGACATAACTCCCTGCTGAATCCTCATGGAAGTTGACAGCTTGGTTGTACTCTACCTAATAACCCCGAAGCCTACTCTCGTATTCCTGGTTGTTGTCTCTCTCCTGGATGTAGTAGTCCCACAGGTTGTGGCAGACGCTGACTCCGGCTCCGCCGATTCCGAGGGTGATGACTTCAGTCATTTTATTCGTAAATAAATTTAAGCTTTATTCTATTTTAATATCAAGCTGGGGTTTTGGGGTTTTGGGGTTTTGGGGTTTTGGGGTTTTGGGG